TCCCACGAGGGGGGCAATGCGCTTCTATAGTCAACACCTAAATCTTCAGAACGAAGCGGCGGCGGCAGGTGATCAACGGTATGCGTCGCTGCCAAGCGGGTGTGATCCAGTGAATCACGCCTGTGCCTGCGTCGCCATTGGCATGTACATGCGCGACGCGTGTGCATGTCGAAGACCACGCGCACATTCCCGCCCAGATCCAGCGCCAGCACATGAGAAGGAAAGATACAGGGCGGCCAGCTCAGGGGGGGAAAACATCGACTTGGAAGCGGCGATGCATCCCCGATAGATCGGCGATGGGCCCGCGATAGCGACACCGCGCCCTCCTGGGCGGGGTGGGCCGTGAGGCCCGCATCGGCGATGAATGCGCGACGTGGGGTCGATGCGCTCCCCCCTGAGCCTATCCCCCCTGAGCCTATCCCCCCTGAGCCTATCCCCTGAGCTCACGTCGACTGGGGAAACCAAAAGGTACCGATGCCGCTGCTCCCCAGCCCTCTCCTGGGGTGCGTTCTGACCAGAACTTCGATCCGAATCCAGCGGCGGTGCCGAGGGCCTCCCGGGAGGCCCGAAAAACGGAAAACGATGGAAGCATTGCGGTATGGGTCACGCTTCTTCCTCCGATCTTCAGCCTATCCCACACTACCGTTGCCCCCGAGCACACGCCCGCCTCTCCGCCCCGACCCCGCCAGCACACGCCTTCGGCTCCCCCGCCGAGCGAGGCGGGTGCCACGCGCGGACGGCGCGCGCGGCGGAGGGCCCATTTGGGCGCCCGCCCGCCGCTGCCGCAGGCGGCCCGGGCGGGCGCGGGCCTCGAAGAAGTCCCCGGGCTTCAGGTGCGGGGGCACGTTGATGGCGACCTGGCTTGGCCGAGCCGCTCCGCTCGCGAGGCACCGCCCAAATCGCGCGCGCGCGCGAACCGCCGCCGCGCTGGCCGTCGCCGCCGCCGCGGCGGCGGTCACCGCCGCCGCTGACCCCCATCAACCGGGTGCTGCTAGAGGCGTCTCTGGCCCAGGCCGCCCCCAGCTTTTCGCTCCACGTTGAGCCCCTGGTGCCCTCTGGGCCTTGTGAGGGGTGCTCTGGAGGCCGTGGGGGCCTCCCTAGAAATCCTGGGGACAACTCGCGCCAGGGACACGCAGCGTGTGCCCGCAAGCGCTCAGCTCGGCTCGCTCCCGTAACCAGCGGATCCGAAGTCCCTTTTCCCCTTCCCCTTCCCATTCCCTCCACCTCCCCCCCATTGCCCTCCCCATCCTCCTGGTCCTCATGATCCTACCCCTCTCCCTACTCAGCCACCCCCAGCCGTTTTGTTTTCCAGGACGGTTTCACACATATTGTTCCTCAAGAAGAGGGGGAAAGGAGCGCGATTACTGACGACCATAACGCGGTATCGGCCATTGTGTAAATCTAAGCGTCGCCAGGCAAACTGGGAACGCCACACAAACCGACCTGCAATGGGTAAACTTGGGCAGTGAACCGTAGCCTCAGAGAAAAAGGAATGCGACTGCGCTGCAAGCCGATATCCTCCGAGGCCCAAACGGCCGACGATATCGAATGCACAGAGCGGCGCGACAGAGCGGGAGGAAAGAGGGAAGAAGGACGAGGGGAGAAGGAGAGAGGAACAATTGTGGGGCAAATCCTAGCGAGAGCGATCGATTGAAAATCGCCCACGGTTTGTACCACGACGCATGCGCAGCGGGGTGCAGAAACAGTCCCCGGAGCTGACAGGGGACAGAACGTAGCCACAAGGAGGAATGCTGGCAAAGCCACGGCGATGAGCACGAGGACGGAAAAAAGAAAGCCTGAGGTGACCTGGACAACCAGCATCAAAAAAACGCACAATAAAGGAGGAGAGGGGGGAGGAAGGGAGCGAGAACAGCTAGGTCCTGAGACGTATGCTGCATGCTGACACCGAACACTAGCGATGTGGCGCGTGGGTAGCCCAAAATGTTTCAACCGCACTCCCAGAACGCGTTTTGCTACGCAGGCTGTTTTTGCTGGCCCTGGGGCCCGACACTGGCCCCGAAGCGCCCGAACTGCGCGCAACATGTATATGTAGTTGTTCTCGCAACGCTTAGCGGGCGAAAGCGTATGAAACAATGTCGCAAGCCTGCAAAAAGATTGGAAAACACATCCACACGATTCGGATGGGCGCCGCGCTACTAGGGAAGCTGATGCATATAGAGCCACCCTACGACAGGCCCCGCGCTCAGAGAAATCAAGTATTCCATGACTGACGCAAAACTGGCGAAGCAACAATCGCGCAAACAGGTCCTCCAATCCTATAACGCGAGCGCAAAGGATGCTGCTCCTTCCCAGAGCCTGAAAGCACCCCCCCGCAAGCACCACGCGAGTGCCCCCAGGACCCGACCGTCCCCTCGCAACCCCCCCCCCCAGCCCCACAGCACCCGACCGTTCCCTCGCCGAACCCGTGCCCACCCCAGAGGTCCGAGGAACACTTGAGCGCAAGCACACATACGTTCTTCACTCTCCTGCTCCTCCACAACTGCTTCCTCTCCTCCTCCTCCTCTTGCCCGAAACTAATGTAAACTCCTCCTCCTCCTCCTCCTCCTCCTCCTCCTCCTCCTCCTCCTCCTCCTGGTGCATCTATTACCACAAGTATTAAGTGTACGAGTATGTGTATAAATGTTAGTAGTATCGTTAGTATGGTTATGATTAGTAGTAGTAGAAGAAGTAGCAGTAAGTGTTAGCATTAACTTCATGTTTACTCGTATCGAAATGACGCTCATCATTATTAGTAGTAGTAGAAGTAATAGTAATGTTGAGACATGGTATCATTAATGATATTCTGAATAGTGGATGGATGACTCGCAATATTAAGTTTGGTATTGGTAATAATAGTATTAGTATCACTATTCATGAAAGTTTTAGTAAAACTAGTATTGTTAGTACTATTAGTATTACCGCTAGCATGATTAGTATAGTTCGTCGTGTTCATCTGTTTCGCAGTCTTCTTAGTACGAATGTAAGACGTATTCGTCGTCGGCTTCGTGTTCGTCTCCGTGTTCGCCTTCGCCTTATGACTATTAGTAGTGGTAGTACTATTAATATTATTCGACGTTGTGTTCGGCTTCGTCTTCGTTGTCGTCTTCGTCTTCGTCTTCGCCTTCATATTATGCATCTCAATATTGCGTGCCCTCTTCCTCTTCATCTTCATACTCCTCTTCCTCATCCTCCTCCTCCTTCTCCTCCTCCTCATCTACCTCCACCTCCACCTCCACCTCCTCCTCCTCATCATCAACATCAACCTCCTCCTCCTGAATTGCCCTCATCATCCTCCTCCGCATCATCATCATCATCATCAGCATCATCATCATCATCATCATCATCAGCATCATCATCAGCATCATCATCAGCATCATCATCATCAGCATCAGCATCAGCATCATCATCATCATCATCATCATCATCATCATCATCATCAGCATCGTCAGCATCATCAGCATCATCAGCATCATCAGCATCATCATCATCATCATCATCATCATCATCATCATCATCATCATCATCATCATCATCATCATCATCATTATCTTCCTCCTCCTCCTCCTCGTTCGTTCGTTCCTCAGGCACGACGGCCGAAGCCGACACGGAAACAGGACGAGAAACGAGGCAGGAAAGAGAAGCGGCGACGAGGGTCCCCAGAGCCCCCGAAAACGAGAAACCAAGGGTCCAGCGCCACATCACCCCCCCAAGAGGGTAGACGCCAAGGAGGAAGAAAGAAGAAGGGGAGAGAGGGAAGCCGCAAGGGGGGAGCACTGGCACTGGACCGCCATGAACGCCCCAAAACGAGAGGCCCCCAAGGACCAGGCCGCGGGCCAGACACCAGGAATTCGAGCCGCGTCCAGCAGGCGACAAACGCGCCCTGGCGCTGGTCAGCTCACGGCCGTCTGCAGCGGCCCTTAGACGCAGGGGTCGGAGAGGAGCATGTTGAGGTCAGAGCCCGTCAACTTACCACGTCGCTGTCAACTTCCGCGCGCCAGCGATGTGCTCGACGCTCTTGTATCCCATCGCCTGGACTTCTGCCACGAAGCAGGGAACATTCTCGCCAGGCAACCACGAGGCATCGAGACCCCGAGCAGGCTAGGTCCCGCATTCTTCAAGGGAGGTATGTCCAAGAAACTCGGCGTCGTAGGTCGAGTGATGGAGCACCTTCTGTGAGGAGCCCTCGATTTCCCTGGACAGCGCCTCGAACGATACCGTGGCCTTCAAAACCTGCTGCTTTGCAAGGTCGGCGCACTTGGCTCTGAACAGGCCCGCAGCTTGAACGAGCAGCTTGTCCTCGTGCTCGAACGAATCGGCGCCTCGATCTTCTTGCCCCGCATGTGCGCTGCAGCCCTCAGGCGGTCCAGGTGCGACTGGGTCGAGGCGAGGCAAGACTCCAGCTGGGCGAACGGCTCGAGGGATCGCGGATGCCGCCTCCGATCGCGGAGAAGATCGCCAGCTTCAACGCAGGCCGCCAATGCCTCCACCTCGCGCTGACGAGCCGTCTTGGCCAGAACTTGTAAGGCCTCCCCGGCGACGTTGCGCGGGTCGGCGGTGGACATGGCAACATCCGCTGCCGAAAGGGCGCGGACCATCTTCTCGGCGGTCTCCACGACCACTCGAAACCATATCCAGCTCCTGGCCATGCTCCATGGACTGATCTCCAGTGTCAGGGGTAGGCCGTAGACAAGGATCGACGGGACCTCCTTGAGCCCCTGGAACTCCGAGATCATCGGGAGCAAGCGCAAGCGCTCCATCATCCGGCTGGCGGGCTTGATGGCCTGGCCTCCGATCCACCTCATGACCATGATCTCCACGAGCATGATCGGGTGCGCCACCGGCCGCTTGAGGCACATGATCCCCTGCTCGCGGAAGGACAACAGGAAGAACATGCCAAACGCCCTGGTTTGGCTGCCCAAGTGCAGGCCGCGACACCAGAGAGACCGTGCAATCTCCTGTCGACAACCTGTGTCAGTGATCAGCGGCCACGACGAAAGGGAGCTGCGAAATTCGAGTGCTTGAGCCAGCTTACTCGAAAACCGTTGAGCACGTCCTGGCTCCACTCGTTCATGAGACGGATATGCAGCACTGTCTTGTTGATGCGCGAACTGTGCACAAAATGCGCTTTCCAGCCCTGCACGAGTTGCTGAATCAGCCAGTCAAATCGGGCCCTGGTGACCATCGCGGGTGGGGATGATGGGGCGAACGGGGGGCGCGCATGTGCGCAACCTCGGCCAATGACCCAAACAAGTTCTTGAGCCCAAGTGGTTATCCTCCTCCTCCTCCTCCTCCTCCTCCTCCTCCTCCTCCTCCTCCTCCATTGCCCTCTCATCCTTTTCCTCCTCCTCCTCCTCCTCCTCCACCAGCGTTGTCCTCTCCCTCCTCCTCCTCCTCCACGTCCTCCTCCCGCGTCAAGATATGGCAATGCAAGAGGGCACAAAGAAATAATAGTATAATACGTATTTCACACATGGCAACGCGGCATCGCAGGATGGGAGGTGATGGCGAAATGAACACAACCAGAAAATCGGTTCGGTTTCGGTTTCGGCACGCGCAACAAGTTGGCTGGGTTCGCGGGCGACCAATTTCCTGGATTAACGCGTTCCCCAGGAACGAAACTCGAACGCGACGCTCTGGAGCGCTGCTTGGAATAACCCATGCTGGGATGTCCTTCGGGATCTGTTGGGCGGCTTTTTGAAAATCGTTTGGAGTTCCTTGAAGCCCTCGGAGATCGACCCTAAGACGTTGGCTGTTGATTCTGGGCTCCCTCCACTACGAAACACCTTGACAAACCCCAGGTTATCGCAAGTGTTTTGCCCCTCCAAGGGCAACCAGGCCAGAAAAGAACAGGAAGCGGGACAGACCTGGGACCCGAGGAGCGGCGACCAGAAAACCGCAACAGCCAAGGCAAGCGGGACCCTACTGGCGGCGACCCGGCACCTGGAATCAAATGCGCGGCGACCAGAACATCGCCACGGCAAGAACCGAGTGTTCCCCAGACAAGTAAGAACCCATGAGCGCAAGCATTGCTCGGCGTCAAAAATGAGAGGCTTGATTATCCTCGATCCTCTTCCGCGGGGGCATTACACTCCCTTCGCAGGAGACGAGGACGAAGAGGTGGAGGCGGATCCCGAGCTGGGGGCGGCCAGGCTGGTCTGGCCTTGACGCCGTCCCGGCGCTTCACCTCGATCTGGAGCCCGGGCTTGGCCCCTGGGGGCACCTGCGCCAGGGGGGTTTGGAAAAGGGGGGTGGAGGGGGACGGGGACTGGCGGGGGAGGATGGGCAGCTGGGGAAGAAACTGCAAAAAAAACGTGATGGGACGAGTGGGATGGGGGAGGGACAGCATCATCCTCTTCACCGCCACCGTCGTTGCCGTCGCGGTCGTCGTCAACGGCATCATCATCATCATCATCATCACCACCACCACCACCACCACCATCATCATCATCATCATCATCAGCAGCAGCAGCATGAACATCATCAATATCGCCATCATCATCATCATCATCATCATCATCATCATCATCATCATCATCATCATCATCATCCTCATCATCATCATCATCATCATCCTCATCATCATCATCATCATCATCATCATCATCAGCATCATCATCGTCATCATCATAATCACCATCATCATCAGAACCAAACTTAACATCAGCATTCGCATCATCATGATCAGCAGCATCAACACCGTCAACATCATCACCATCATCACCATCATCAGCATCGTCATCACCAGCACCATCACCATCACCATGACCATGACCACATTGTCATCATCATCATCATCATCATCATCATCATCATCATCATCATCATCATCATCATCATCATCATCATCGTCATCATCGTCATCATCATAATCATCGTCAGCGCCATCAGCAGCATAAGGTGCAGCATCCGCATCAGCATCAACATCAGCATCACCATCATCGTCATCAGCACCTACCTCATCATTTTCACAGTCCGGATCGCCATTGCCATCGCCATCGCCGCATCATAATCAGCATCGTCATCGGCGTCATCACCATCATCATCAGCATCGCCATGACCATCAGCATCACCATCAGCAACAGCATGCTCAGGCTCAAATCTATATTTCTCATCAGATTCATCATCATCATTAGTTCCATAATCATCATCAGCACGATGACCATCATGGTCAGCAACAGCACTTGCCCACCCGAGTCATGAATCTACATGAGAAGGGCATTCGCGCCACTACGCCTCTTCAGCTGTGGCAACAAATTGCGCGTGGGTTGGTGGGACATTTGCTCGAGCAACCGTAATGATGACAAGCCTTGGAGTTAACGACTTCTGTTCTTCATTAAATTTCCCTCCGCCCCCCCCCACACACACACACACACACACACACACACACACACACACACACACACACACACACACACACACACACACACACACACACACACACACACACACACACACACACTTTTTGCGTCAGCGGCTGGGCAGAGGGCGACTGCTCTGGCGGATTGCCAACAGGGGACCCCACATATTGCCCCACATAGAGTGCACATCGAGAGTGCAACAACCCACTGTTGGGACTACGCGCTGGCAAGCATGCCTTATACCCTTTTCCTGTTTGCACTCCGTTGCGGGTACTCGGAATTGCCTCGGAGCCCTCCAGAGCTTCGGAGCTGCGCTGGAAAAAGCAGCACAAGTAGGAGGCAGGCGAGGAAACGCCTGGAGGCTTCGGAGTTGCCGCTGGAAAAAGCAGCACAAGTAGGAGGCAGGCGAGGAAACGCCTGGAGGTCCGCACGTCCCAGCTACGAGAGCTAGGTCACCGCGCATCGTGGAGGCCCGCGCACCCCCAGCGTCGCGCATCGCGCCCCGCGATGCACGACGCGCGATCATCTTCGCGCCCTCGCGCCTCGCGCCGCCCCCGTGGAAAAGGGCAATCGCCCTGGCCCAGACCGCGACGCGCGAAGCGTGACCATCTTCTGGCCACGCGCAGAAGGGGGTAGGGGGAGGGGGGAAGGCTTCTTAGAAGCACCAGTGCTTCTTAGAAGGCGCGGGCCTTCTTTGTAGATGTGAGGCCGGCGCCCTCTAAGAAGCGGCCTCCTTCTAAGAAGCCTGCCCCCCTCCCCCTACCCCCCTTCTGCGCGCCGCCCAATCTTCGCGCCCCCGCGGGTGCTCGGCCCGGCCTCGGCGAGCCCTGCCACGTGGCCCGCTGGAGCCAGCACGGCGCCGCTCCGCTCCCCGCTCCCCGCCCCCCCCGGCTCGCCGAGGGGCCTCGACGCGGAACTCGTACGCCGGGACGAGGCGGAAGACGAAGTCCGACCCGGGCTTCGCGCCCTTGGGCGGCACGACCTGCCGCGGGGGGGGGTCCGAAAGGCCCGGGCGCCGTGCGCGCAGGGAGCGGGGAAGGTGCCCCCCGAACAGAGAAGCCAACGCCGCCTCCGTCGGCGATGGGGTGCGCCGAGCCCGTCTGGAAACGGAACCAGTCGCGTATCCGCACGCCTTCCCAGACATCCAGCCGCTACGTTTCTTGTCGATGCGTGCGTCCCGCAGGTCCGGACAACTTCCCCTGTCGCCAGGCCTGCGTCCTGAGTCGTTTTGTCGACGCTCCCGAGGCCCGGCGAGGGCCCCCAGAGGCCGAAAACTGCCAAAATCCCGCCTCCCTAATTTTTGTTGGAGTGTCGGATCTCTGGGAGTCCACACGCGTGAATCATGCTCTCGCTTCCTCGGAATACGACCCCCGCCTCCTGGGCGAGCCGATCCCCGAGTTCTGGCGGCGCGCGGGAGGGGGTGAGGCGAGGGAGGCGGCCTTCCGAAGAGGAAGAAAGAAGGCTCTCCTCAAAGGGGCCAGGGGCCTCTAAGAAGACTCCTTCGAGATGGGAGGGCTTCCAAGAAGCCCTCCTGCCCTCTCGGGCGGGGCGAAAGTGGAGCATGGCAAGAGGGAGGTAGAGAGTCAGCTCACGTAGCTGGCTTTCCCGGCGCCTCCTGGCGCCAGGAGGCGCCCATGCATCGAAGAATGAGCCTGGCGGCGGGGCGGAAATCAGCTGCATGCAGCAGATTTGTACCCCCCCCCTTGCCCTATCCCCCCCCCCGTTCGTCTGGCCCGACCTTTCCAGCAGGCGATATGCCTCGGGCGACCATCGTCCTACACATCCTCCGACGCGCTCTTCAAAGTCCACGGCCCCAGAGCTCCCGACCCCCCCCGGGGTAGCCTGTCCTCCCAGATCCGTGCTCGCATCTCCACGAGGCCCGGTTGCGGGCCCCAGGAAGCCCCCAGGAGGCCCCAAATCCGCCGAGCTGGCATGTGATTTGAAAAGAGCGTGGGCTCGAGCTCGCTGAACCCTGTGAAGCGCTTAAGAACCCCCCCTGCACCGGAACGAAAATAAGTAATTCTCGAGGCGGGTTCAGCGGAGCTACATTTTGAGCACCGCACCGCAAAAAATAAATCCGCCGACCCATTGGGGTCATTGCGTGTGAGTTGCTTCCCCCTCCCCAAACCCCTCCCCCGGGAGCCCAGTCCGGCCGGTTTGGAGCGGGGGGGGGGGCAAAGGTGTCAACCGCACCCTTGGAGCCTCAGGGAGCCCCAAAACGGGCCAAGAGGGCCCCAAGAGGCCCACCGGACGGTCCAAGAGGGCTACGAGTCGCCGAAAGAGCGCTCCAAGACGCCGAAGATTGCCTCCAGAAGGTCCAAGACGCCCCAAGAAGCCTCCAAGAGGCGTCACAAGAGGCCCTCCAGAATCCTATTCCCAAGGGAAAACGTATAATTTTAGCAGATTCGCCTCTTGGGCTTTCACGAGGCCCACAACGGCCCAAGAAGCCTTTAAGATCGACCCAAGATAGCCCAAGAGGCCCCCAAGAGGGCTCCAAGACGGCCCAGGAGGGCCCCAAAGACAGCCCCAGAAGCTTCCAAAACGACCCAGGAGGGCCTCAGGACGGCCCCAAGAGGAGGCCCAGAGGGGGAACCCGAATGAACATTTCGAGCACTCGGCCCCGAAAAAACCTGAGGAGGCGCCAATAGGCCCCCAAGAGGCTCCCACGAGGCCCCCGAAAGGCCCAAAAGAGGCTCCTAGAGGCCTCAAAACGGCTCCCAAGAGGCCTCAAGAGTGTTGCCAGGAGAGCCCAGAGAAGCCCAAAAGCAGAGCCACGATCCGCCAACCGCCCCCGACGAAATCCCAAGAAGCTGAAACCCCAAGATTCCCCAGAAATCGTTCCGCTAACTCCATGTTTCACTCTTACTGCCGCCCCAAGGGGTCGGCGGTGCGGCGTCAGCCAATGAATAAGTATTGCCCGCATTCGACCGCAAGTACTGCCGCGCAGAAGTGGAACCCAGTACTGGAGCGGCGAGCTGTCTTGTGATTCTCTATTTCGGCACAGCTCTCGCACGCTTCGTGGCCCCATTCGGGAAGTCTCGCGAGAGCCTCAGTGGCTCCGCTCGCGTGGCGCCGCTGCGCCCGAGCGGGGTCCTCTACTCCTGGACCACGTGACACGACGGTTCCATGGGGCCAATGGGCGCCAAGTGCCAGGTTAACGCTTCAGGGTGCAGGCTGAGTTTTCGATTCACCCACAGGGGGGGAGGAGGGGGGTTCGTAATCACTTCACGGGGTTACGCTTCGCTCTGGAAGGTGGGGGGCGCGCTCTGCTTTTTTTAGGGCGGGCGGGATTTGCAGCTTTTACCCCAAAAAACCCTCTGTAGATGCGCTGGAAGGGTGGCGGCCTCCTGGGCTGGGTGACTTGCACCTTTCACATATAGAGACCCCCTGTGGGTGGCTGGATTCCAGCTGGGGGCCTGCAGGTTCTACCCAAGGACACTCTGCAAATGCTGGACAAAGCCGGGCCCGGGCCGGACAGCGGGTCGGGGCCAGCACCGGGGCCAGGGCCCGAGCCGGAGCTGGGGCCCGGAGCGAGGGCCGAAGCAAGGGGCCAGGCACGGGGCCGAAGCCGGCAGGGGCAGACCGCTGGGGCCGGAGCTCCGAAAGTGCATGCTCACGCCGGCCCTGCTTCGGATATCGCGCCGCCAGAGCGCGGCATGCGAGTGCCACTTCCGCGAGAAGCCCGAGCGCCTCTCTCTTCTCCTGGGAGCGAGGCGGGCCGAGGCAACGACGGGTCAGGCTCGGTCCTCGGAGCCCTCCCAGGGTGCACGCGCACATGAGCTTCCCGAGCTGGGCCTGGTCGTGTCGACCTGTGGGCCCCCCCCCCCCCGAAGGCCAACTATACTGTGGTCTCGGCTCGCCCTCCTCTGTTGTCACAACGGCGGCTCCCCTGCCTGTTATCGGATGTTGCTAGAAGTGCCCCTGGCCCAAGGTGCCACCAGCTTTTCGCTTCATTTTAGAGCGCCTGGGGCCCTCTGGGCGTGCCCTGGAGGCCGTCTGGGCCGCCCCCAGAATCCTGGGGGTACCTTGGGCCAGGGGTACTTCTAGCAACACCCGATATGATCCTACTATACATTGAGAGTTTGGCGCCGACGTTGCAGCATGCGCGGCAGGAGCTGGACGAAGGCGCACATCGCGCGCGAGAGGGCGAAATGTCGCTCGGACCTCGGCGCCGCGCTGACTCCTCCTGAAAATCGAATGCGCCAACTCGTCGACTCGCGAGTGGTCGAAAGCGGGAACGGCCAAGAGGGGTGTCCAAGAGGGGGGGGGTGCAAATCATGACCGGCGGCATGTGCGCGGCCCAGCAGGGGGGCCCAGGACGTAATGAACTAAGAAGAGGCGCCATGAAATCTGGGGAAATATCATGGCCCACGCCATGATATCCACCCCCCCTACTCATCACCCCCCTCTTTTCCGCCCCCGAAATGCTCTCGCCTCGGCGACGCGCAGATGTCGCCTGAGAGAGGCGCCCCCGCCCGGCGCGGCGCGTGTCCTCCGCTCGCCAGGTCGCTGGGGGCGGGGCCGCGCGCGAGCGGGCGGCGTGTCGCCCTTGCCTCCTGAGCTGCGCGCAGAGTTGGCCTCTGGAAGTGGCTGTCCGGCATGGGCGCGGCGCGTGTTTCGCCGGCCGAGTTTGGAGGCCTGGAAATGGGCACCAACACCAAGACAAGGGGGCTGCCTCCACAGGGGGGAGATGATCCTAGATTTCGGTGTTGGTGGTAATAGTTCGGTCACCTTGGAAGCCAGAATATTACCACCATCACCGAGATCGGGATCTTTCTTCCCTCGGTGGAGGCACACCGCCGATATTGGTGTTGGTGTCAATCTCTAGGCTTGCGAAGCTTTCCAGCATGGGCGCGGCGCGCGTTTCGCTCGCCGAGTCGCACGAAAGAGGCAGCGGCCGCGAGGCCGCGCGCGAGCGCAGGCGAAGTGCTGCCCTCGCCCCAGCACCGCGCAGCTCGTGTCTGAAAACGGCAGTGCTGTCTCGGCGCGGCGCACGCTTCGTCTTCCCCGCGCTCACCGGAAGCTCTGCCGCCCGAGAGGGACGACTGGTGCTCTCGTCGCAGCGCAGCGCAAGGAGTTTCGGAAGTTCCGCCACCGCCCTTGCGCAGCCTGCGTGCCTTTCCGCTCGCCCGGTCGTCTGAAGTCGGACTGCGCGCGAGCGTCTTGCATTCGCTCGGTGGGAAAGGGAGCGGAGGTCGGAATGGGAGCGCCACCATCCATGCGTTCGCTCGGTGGGAAAGGGGGCGGAGGTCGGAATGGGAAAGGGAGCGGAGGTCGGAATGGGAGCGTCTTGCGTTCGCTCGGTGGGAAAGGGAGCGGAGGTCGGAAAGGGAGCGGAGGTCGGAATATTAAGTTGCGCCACCATCCGTTTTTTGGTTTATGGAGCGGAAGGTCGGAATGGGTGGGGCCCGCTGACTCGTTCGACCTGGCTAACGTTACTCCTCCTCCTACTACTCCTCCCTCTGCACCTCCCTGCTCCTCCTCCTCCTCCTCCTCCTCCTCCTCCTCCTCCTCCGCCTCCTCCTCCTCATTCTCTCATCCTCCCCCTAATGCTCTTCCTTATCCTCCTCTCGCCACAGCACGGCCCCAAGGAGCGTCCAGGGTTATCTTGTTCCCATCGCACTTAAGGACCACATCGGGCTTTCCCACATGCCATAAATAATCGAGCACCCAGAAAAGTATCGAAACAGTGTCGAACAAGCATCGCCTCCCAGGGCCCGACACGTGAAAGCCCTCCAGTTTCGGTACTTTCTTGGTGCTCGGAATTCTTTCTGGTCATCAAGGCTAAAGTAGGTTAGAACAGAAGTCCAGGGCTCCACGCGAACAGTGCCTCTGTCGTGAGTGCGTCGGGCACTCGAGAAGGGCAAGGGCGAGGAGGAGGAGGAGGAGGACCTGGGGAGGACCCTGTCAGGGATCGGGGAAGAGTAGGAGAGATGGGGGGGCAGCGGGAAAGCGCAGACACCGAGACTGACACGTGGCTATCGGAACAGATGTCGGTGATGGCTCCAGGTCGCTGCACAGGGGCCTCGCGAGACTGCACGCGTGCTGCGGGTAGATGAGCTCTGCCGCCCGCTCAGCAGGGCACCGAGCCGCCGCTCCTCTCCAGGCCATGCCCCCCAAGTCAGCGTGAGGCGTGGCGTCGGGTGCTGGTCAAGAAGGACGACGAAGAAGAATACGAAACGGCATACATAATCATGAAGGCTCGAAGGTCCACGCGGATGTCTTGGATCGACGGAGGAGGCGCCGCCTGGAGGGTCCAGCGAAGATCCCAAAAATACCCGCGAGGAACACCCAGCGCTCAGGATTATGCAATGCTGTCTGCTTCGAATGGATCATCTGACCAGCAGGAGCAGGGGAACGGACAGGAAGCGCGTTGCTTCCGCCGGCGTCCGCTGGCACTGAGGGACGCCAAACCTCGATCCCTCGAGGGCGAGGCCATGTCGGGAAGGCCCCATGCTCTCCAAGACGTCCGACGTCGTTATGATTTCACAGCGCGGCCTCCCCTACGTCTGAACCTCTCTGTGGGGGGCCGGCTTGCCATAGTGTCTTTCACGACGCAAAGAGGCCAAGGGATGCCCAACACCCTTCAGGTGTTGACAGAGGTGTTCCTGGCCCAATGTGTCCCAGCTTCTCAAGCGATTATAGCCCCTGGGGCTCTCTGAGCCTCGTGAAGCGTGCTCTCGAGGCAATCTGGGCCTGGCTGTCAACTGGGCCAAGGCCCCGTTTGCCTTGAAAACGGCAGGGCTGTTTTCACTGGTCCATGTTTCTCCATGTTTGTTGTTCGTTCCCACTTCCGCCGGTTTGTTTTGTGTGTATGCTTCCGTCTCTATGTTGTTTCCTTGTTCCAGATCCAGTTCCAGGTTCCGATTCCAGAGCAGTTTGTTGTCCGGTTCGGTGCAGTTCGATTATTATCAATAAAACTGCTGCTTCCAAGGCCCACCACGAGCCTGGAGCCACTTCTGGCAACACTCGAACCCTGGCGGCGGACGAGGCCCGACGAGGCCGTCTCGGTCTCCTTTCCTCCCGGTCCGCCGCCTGGGCCAGAAGCAAACGGCGGGTTCCGCCCGCCACGCTTGGCGAAGAGGCTGCGCCCGGCACCGAGGGGCAGTTGCTCCTCCTCATCATCATCATCATCCTCATCCTCCTCCACATCCTCGGCCTCCTCCGCCTCCTCCTCCTCCTCCTGCTCCGCCTCCTCCTTCCTCTCCTTCTGCTCCTCCGCCTGCTCATGTCCGTCTGCCCATCCTGCACGTTCCTCCTCCTCTCTGCCACTCCCTCCTCCCTCCTCCTCCTCCTCATCCTCCTCCTCCTCCTCCTCCTCCTCCTCCTCCGCATCTGCCTTTGACTCCTCATCACTCTTCTCACTCGTCACTATCCCTCCTGCTCGCGCCTCCCTCCTACCTCCTGCCTCCTCCTCTTGCTACTCCTCGTTCTCCTCCTCCTCCAACTCCCCCTCCCCCTCCGACCTCAAAGAACACATCTGATTCCACGTCGCGACCTCGGGACACAGGTAAGATAATATTCAGCCTCATGTGGCCTGGGCCCCTCCCAGTCCCACTCCTCTCTCATCCCGCGGGACGTCGATAGGTCCATGCGGGCCCGCGATTTGCACCTTCTCGCCCTCCTCGTGCTTCTCGGGCACCTGGCAGGGTGCCTCATCCTCCTTCACCTCTTCCACATCATCATCGTAACCAGCACCATCAACAAGATCAGCAATATCATCACATCATCACCGGTACCGTCACCCTCGTCATCAGCAGCATCATCGTCACCGTCGTCGTCATGGCATTCGGCATCGCCGTCGTGCTCACCTCCTCCCTGTCACGACTATTCCCTGAACCCTCTACCCCGAGCATGTGACTTCCTCGCCCGATGCAAAAGGAAAGAAAATGGTCCGTAAGAAACGATCTGCGCATGCTCTCCCTGCTTCTCTTCCTTCGTCTGCTCGACCTCATCCTCATCCACAATGGAGCACGATAACTGTGATAACACCCTCAGCGCACGAGCTTGAAGGTGCCGAGGTCCCAGATAGCAGGGGTCGTCGGCAGTTTGCGAGGGGTGGGAGGGGGTCATCGGCAGTTTGCGTAGCTCGAAAGCACATGTGAAGAAGACAGCCGCAGGCGCCAGTTTTGCAACACATTACACAACAAACCCCCGGCCGGCGCCGAGATTGTCGCCGAAACCATGCAAAAATGTGGTGAGACGCGGAGCGGATGGATCTTGCACGGGTCGGTGGGCGAATCGCACGGCGGGTCGCGGGTGGGTTTTGGATGGGGTCGCGGGTGGGTCGCGGGTGGGTCGCGGGTGTTCCGAGAGGCGGGTCAGGAATGGTTCGCGATCTGGGTCGCGGGTGGTTCGCGGTTGGGTCGCGGGTGGGCCGAGAGGCGGATCGGGGTTCGGTAGGCCGCGGGCCGGGTCGCGGATGGTCGCGGGGTGGCTCAGCACCAAGAACCTGAACTGCACCGCGGTAAGCACTTTAGCCACGCACCCAGGGACAGTGTGAGCTCGTTCGGACCCCTCGCTCTGAGAAAGTCGCCAGCCCAACGGGCAAGAGGCCTGCTAGATCACTCAACGAGACCACTCATGTAGAGAAGAGTAGCTGTTGGTATCTAGTCCAGGGTGCGCGAGAGCGGCCCTGCGAGGTCTGCGCACCTTGCTGGGGCCAAAGGCCCCCCAAGGGCGGACGGAAGAGCGGGCGCGAGCCCCCAAGAGCACGGCTCAAAGCGTGTCAGGCCCCATGCTGGCCCCAAGATGGCCACAAGGTCCAAGGTGGCCCCAGGATGGCCCAAGGTGGCCCGAGGTGATCTCCATGGACTGCACAGACGGCCAGACATGGCCACAGAACCTCTCCCCGCATGCTCTCAAGACGGCAACGATCAAGCAGAAGACGAGCTGTTCCCCGAGAAGTGCTGGCCCGTGGGTGCCTCGCCTGCCTTACTAAGGAATTGCATGGGTGCGTCGAGGACTCGCCACGTTCTGGCCCACTGCCGCCCGCTGCCGCCCGTCGCCACCCGTGGCCGCCCGTGCGGGGTCGTCGACGCCTCGCCACGTGCCTGCCCGCTGCCGCCCGCTGCTGCCCCGCGGCCTCCCGCTGCCGAGCGTGCGGGTGCGTCACAGACTCGCCACGTCCCCGCCCGCTGCCGCCCACTGCCGTGCGGGTGGGTGTGTCGGGGACTCGCCATGGTCCAGCCCGTCGCCGTCCGTTGCCGCCCGTTGCGGACGCGTGCGCTAGACGCGATGCGTCGAAAGCACCGAAAACTGCATCCCTCCTAGTGGAACATAGTTTCTGTCAGCATTTCTGTGGACGCGAAGCGTTGCCACATAGCTTCCACCACAGAGCTTCCAGCAGACAGTTTCCACAACACAGAGTTCTAGTTAACACCACGTAGTTTCCACCATTTAGTGTGCACCACATAACATCCATCACATAGCTTCCACCACATAACTTCCACCACCAAAATAAATAAAAGTTCACACAAAAAATGTAAGAACCCACGCACACACCAACAAAAAAACTACCAACCCTTGCTATGTGAATTTTCCTGCGCGTGCGGGTTTCGATAAGCGTCCGGAACCCGAGATGATCCCAAGAGAGCGACAAGAGAACTCGAAGAGAGTTCCGAACCCTCCTGAGAAGGTACGAACAGGGCTCCCCACAAAAGTGGCCACGGTGGCACAGCTGGCAACACCCAAACAGGCGAAGCCCCCTTTCGAATTTGGATCTTCGAAGGACACAAGTTTGCTGGACCTCCAATAAACTCCCGAAAAATGGGGCCACTGAGCACCTGGCAGCAAACGGGCCAGCGAGGTACCACTTCGATCTGCGTAACGACTCCCGTAGACCTCCCAGGGGGCTCGCGAGAGTGACAGCAATTGCAGAGGTGGCAGCACGTGAAACTTCGAGTCGGGCCTACAAACAAAGGTCTGGGTTTGATGGTGTTTTGGTGACAGCACCCCCCTAGGGGCTTTGATGAAGCGGAAGGAGCGCGAAAAGCTCATTGAAAATAGTTGGTCGACTTGGCTCTTACGCCGAGCGATACGAGAAACCAACCATGGGGTTTCGATGGAGTTACATAGTTGCCAAGAGCACATCACCGTTCGGCATTAGTGGTTAAGAATACAAGATCGTAACATCAAACCAAACGCGCGTTTGATGCCCTGGCGGGGCGGGGCGCTCCAAAACGCAAAACACGGCCCAGAGCAACCAACCCCCCGCGCGGACTGCCCCCGCGGGGGTGCCAGGCGGGAGCGGAAAGGATCCGAAACCGTGGCGGCGCAGAGGAGCTCGACGCAGGGGAGGTCGGAGGAGCTGGGGCGGCGAGGTCGGGAGAGGAAGGGCAAAGAGGGAATGGGGAAACGTGCGACGGGCGTGGAAGGGCAGAGACAAGGAGGAGGGGGGAGTAGGAGGGAGGAGGCAAGCAAGGGCAAGGGGCGAGGGAGGGAGGGAGGGAAGGGGGATGAAGGAGGGAGGAAAAAAGGATAGAAGGGAAGGAGGAGGGAGGGAGGAGAGAATGGAGGATGACGGGGGACGGAGGGAGAATGAGGATCTTAGACCTAGTCGTGGATCAGATTGCTGCTGGTTTAAGCTTAGCTGAACACCCGCATGTCATGGCCAGGGGTCGCGGCGACCCAGGCAGCAACACAGGAGCCGACACAACTACACAAAGATAAGGCGCACCGACCCCAAGATCGCCCAAAACGGCCACAAAACGGCAAACAGTGGCCCCAAAATGGCCCTAAAACGGCCTAAGCTGGCCCGACGACGGCCCACGGTGACTCCAAGACGGCCTAGGAAGACCCTCAGGACCTCCCAAGATGGCTCCAAGACCTTCAACACCCACCCCAAGATGGCCCGAGATGGCTTCAAGACGGCATAAGAAGACCCTCACGACGGCCGAAAGTGGCTTCAAGACGGCCCAGGGAGACCCTCAAGACCTCCCAAGATGGTTCCAAGACCTTCAAGACCCACCTCAAGATGGCCCAATATGGTTTCAAGGGGGCGGAACAAGGCCGAAACGCAACAACGGATGGAGGCGGAGGCCGAGGTGGAGGCGGAGGGTCTATTCTGCACCACCACGCGGGAACGTCGCCGCCAACAGCGGCTGGTGCTGGTGGCGCCGGCGCAGCAGTGCTCAGCTGGGTGCACTCCTGCTGCCGTTACTGCTGCTGCTGCTGCTGTTGCTGCTGCTGCTGCTGCCGCTGGTCGCAGCAGCAATACTTCTGGTTCAGCACATCCGACAAGCGGTCCGTGACCGCCCGCGAGATGGTGGCGCACACGTCGTCCTCGCCGAAGTCCTCGGCGTCGTGCACTGCGTTGCGCGCCGAGGTCGGCTTGTCTGCAGCTCCCTCGCCAGTCACAGAAATATTCAGAGTCTGAGGGGCCTTCGGCTCCCATGACACAGATGACGAACGGCGCTGGTCGCGCTGGAACCCCAATTGCATGGCCTCGCGCGCCGCCTCTTTCCCGCGCAGATCGGCGCCCACCTTGGACCCGCTCAGCACCACCCTGATGGAGCCCGCAAGCTGCTTTATATCGGCTGGGATGCCCTTATGCTTGAACGACGTCTTCGCGGCGCGCGCCGCCAGGACTTCCAACGCCACCTTCTCGGCCAGACCCCCCGCGCAGCGCACCACCCCCCCCTGGGCGCCGCGTGCAATCGAGAAGAACCCCGCGATCTTCTCGCTGATGGGTTTCATCTTCACGGCCCGGAACACCCCCGAGAAACCAGTCTCCTTCCCAGAGCAAGCGTTCAACGGGGCGTCGAAGTGCCCCCTGCACCGCCCGAAGAGACTCACGCGCGCGACGACGTCGACGGAGTCGCTGCCCTGATCCACCTGGCCTGCATCACCAGCGCCACCGTCGCCACTCTCCGTCGGCTGGTCGGCGACCCCCTTTCGGCGCGACCGCATCCCTGAACACAGCCGAGGTCGACCGCAGCTCCAACCATGCCTGGGCGACGCGAATGGACGCGCAAATGCGAGCGACTGCGCGGCGAACTGCAGGGGCACAACCGCCACCCACAACGCCCCTCCATCGCCGCGAGCACCGACCCCGCATGCACCCCATTCGTCGACATCCCCTGAAACCGCCAGCCTTAGCAATGGAGTCTGTGAACTTGATCTCCATGGTCGCCAGCTCGGCAGTGCCCTCGGCGACCGCGGGCGCTCCGCCGCCCATAACCACGCGCGCGAGGACCCACTGTTCCAGCGAGATGCCGATCTGCTTCGCCAGGTCGGTCGCACCGCCCTTGCGGAACTGCACGCCCCACTGGCCAAGTCCATGAAAGATGACCGCGAAGACGGCGGGGGCGGCGCCTGCGTCAGACAGCAGCGCCTCGCGCGCACTGATGATCTCGCCCCGCATGATGTCGATGTGATACGCCCTGTTGTACTCGGCCACACACGCCTTCAAGGCCTCGCTGAAAGTGAAGACTAAGTTCCCCCAGCCCCCCCCCCCCCCCCCCATTCATCCCGAAGGAATATGCGGACATCGCCTCTGGCAGGGCACCTCTTCAATGCTCCAGGGGCCGGGCCCAGCAACACCTTCATGCTCTCATCAAAGGCGTAGAGGGCATGCTCGAGCGGCTTCAACTCCCCGGGCACCTCGTCGCGGAGCTCCGCCCTTACGACATGCTCGGTGGC